AGCACTGTCGACGGGCGACGTGTTAAACAAAACTCATTGAATAGCCGTTTTTTTAATAGCTCTGGTGAAAAGGCAAGCAGACAAGCTGGGATTCACAATCTACAGGAAGCCAACACACACCGGACGCTACCTTGATTTTGGCTCAAACCACCCAACGAGTCACAAGACGTCGGTGGTTTCTACTCTCTTGTCTAGAGCAATGACGATCTGCTCGTCGGAAAGAGACAGAAGAAAGGAGAAACAGACCATACTTGTTTACCTCCAAAAAAGGCGGCTATTGAAGGAGTTCTGTTCAACGCGTCGCCCGTCATATACGTGAAGGCAACTTGGGCCTCGCTGAATGAGTTTTAATTTAATCTGAGCATCAAGTTGTCACCGCGCCTAGTCGTAACCGCCGATTGTTTGGCCAACTAGGCTTTGCAATTGAGAAAATGCGCCACCGCCACGGTGCATTCTTCTAAGCGGCGGTTGGCTGTCGAACGCTCATGTGTATGCCCTCGAAAACAAATATCACGACTTTGCTCACTTCATTCCCAATGTTACTTATTATCGTAAACTCCTAACACTACTCCTATAGCTATTATCACTACTACTACTACTACTCCTACTAAAACTGCTACTACTACTATTATTACTACTGCTACTACTACTACTACTACTACGACTACTACTACTACTAATACTACTATTACTGCTACTACCATTTGAACTACTATGACAGGGCTAGCATTCTTCGGCAAGTAAACATAATCTCGAATACAACAAGCACACCAGCCGAATGCTCGAGACCTATCCCTCGACCGTTACCGACAAGGCTGATTGTGGTTTGGGAAAGCACAGATTGTTAGTAGATTAAGAATATGAAGCTCACAGGAACTTACAAGGTTGGACGCCAAATAAAGTCGAGTATATATTTGTTCATTGTCTCTGCCTAGAGTGACTTGTAGAAGCAACACGCCGTCGACAGCGCCGAACCAAGCCGCAAACGTAACACGTCCCTGAGTGTGAACATAGGATTCCCATTATTCCCAAAGGGGAGCCGGAGAAGGCGCAAGGGGGTGCGTTTTTTTCCGCAAGGTCTATTGATAAAAACGTGTTTATTCAGACATGATTAAAACAATTTGCCCCTCTCCCAACAATACCAAGGACCAGTCGCTTCGAAGCTGGTCAAGCTCCGTTGCTGCACTAGGAAAAGTGCAGTTCTACTGACAGGATATACTGTGTTTTTATGTAGACAGAAGGCAGAAGAAAAACATGGGCTACGGACTCGCGCCCCTAGGACCAGAACAAGGCACGCTGAATACAAAATTTCAACAGTCTAATTCTAGCAAATACTTCTACAGTTTCATTTTAGCTAGAACCAAATACAAGAAATATGATTCGCCGAGGTTCTGCACTATTAGGCACCCATGAAAACTTTTCTTCGTCACATGAATGTTATCAAATAAAACGCTTGTTCAATCTCGTTACGGAAGGAAGCAATCTTAGCTAAACTAGTTGGGACAAAATAAAAAGTGAACCAAGAGCAACTACCTTAACACCCAACCCTTATCTCCCCTTTTTTAAACTTCAAACCCTGAAGTCGTTGGTGTGGAGTGGTGTGAAGTATTGTTAATTTACGCTAAACCATCTAGGGTACGCAGCCGTCACGTTCAGATGCCTAAAGATCTACCAAATATAGTTCGAGTCTAATAATTATGATAACAAAGACCTACCGGACGTGCGATATGGGTGAAGCCATCTGCAATGAATGACCTTCGTTATTTGCTCAACCACTTGGTAGGCTTCTGATGTCAAACCCAAAATGAAAGCAGAAATCGCAGGTGTTGCACGATCACAAAAAATTACGATGTTTTACGGACGTGGATGTAATTATTGCCCGGTACAGGTTTCATAATTCAGCTGGAGTATCACGGTGTGGAGTCTGAAAATTACCTCAAATTTTTTTAAGTTAGTACATGATACAATCATAGTAGATCTACGAAACGCTTTTTTGACACATTAACTCAGCGAGATCGAAAAGAAGGCACGTTTTAAATCTGGTAAAGATTAAGTTTAAGGTATACTATGAATACATCTGGTAGCATGTACGTGACACTGTCTAATCTTTTTCATGTATGATTATTCGGCGCAACGCGGTAAACGTTTTGGGGGAAAACATTAATTCTCTCAATTTGCATAATTATAATAGCGCTATACGTACTTCACTCTATCAGGTTTCGCGTGAGGGTTGCGCAAATCGATTACTAGCCTTTTTATCTTTCACCTGCTTCTGTTTGAATGTGCACCGATTTTATTATTGCCGAGTGATGGCGACGCTAGAGAGGATTGCCGTACAACCGTATGGAGTCTACCAACTGCCAAAGTTATTTTCTATATGCTTCTCTGATAATAAATGAAGCACGACGACCATGGTTAAAGCGAGTGCAATTAAATCTTGCGTGGTGGCGTTGTAGTGACCTCGCGCTACTAGCCAGCCAGGGAAATTGTGCCATAGTTTGGTGTTGTGCTAAAAATTCTAATAACGGATTGGGTTTATGTTCGAACCAAGCGGGCAACCTCATGTGTGGACCTCGGCAGGGAAGCGGATGTTGGGCAGAAGGACCGACAGGAGCGTTTGGAGCTAGGACGTCTTCAATAGCCAAGCAGTGTTCATTGACATATCTACAGCCCTATTGAAAAAACCAGCTTAAGCTGGTCCCAGCTTCAACCTGGGTTATTGCCCCAGCATGCCCAGTTTGGTTGATCTGGTCCCAACTTCAAGCTGGGTTATTGCCCCAGCATGCCCAGTTTAACACGCTGGTCATGCTGGATAAACTGGTGGTGCTGGTGGACTTCACAACCAGTTTAACCTTTTTAAATTAATACACACTTTTTTCGCACTTGCGGCCTGCTCACATAAGCTCAGATGCTACATATCCTCGGCGCTGGCTCAGTACTAACCGACGCAGAGACAGTAGTTCTCAGTGCAAAGCAATATTAATAAAAGCAGATTGCTTATCTCTCAACACGAAAAATACGAGACACACGCCAAAAACAGGCAATAGCAAAAGAAAATACTACACTGATGAGAGAAGCGAACCTGGGTCCTGCCAGTAATGGGGGCGAGGCGGCCTTTTGCGTGGTCGCCAGAGGCGACGAAATCCCTGTGGCTGATGGCATTGGCGATACTCCTCGGCACCACCGTCATTCACGAGCACACACACGTTCTTAGACACGAAGCTACGCCTCAGTTGGGACGTCCGACCTCTTCTCGCACTAAACTAACTGCCGCTCGCTTTCTCCTCAAAACCCACTTCGCTTGCTCCGTCGTTCAAGTAGTCTCCAAATAAAGGCGCACACAGCCGTCCCTTCGAAAATTTGCCCAAGCCAGCCAAACGTACCTCAAATTCTCCGTTCCTACGACTCTCTCTCTCTCTTCTCGCACACAATAGCAGCTGGAAGCGCGCCTGAAACGCCCGGTCGTCTACCAAAAACGAGAGGACAAAAAACAGGACGTGGCCTCGTTCCATCTTAAGCCGACCTTGGCGCGCGCGCTCCCAGCAATACCATTTCGACCATCTCTAGCGGACCTTGGCGTGCGCGCTCCCAGCAAGACCAGTTTGACCACCACAATTATGAGTTCGACCAGCTTCACCAGCTTGTCTCCCAGCTTGACCACATTGGCTCTATGGAAGACCAGTTTGACCAGTTACGACCAGACTGAGGCCCAGCTACGCCAGATACCAGATTAAATCTAAAACGAGATTCTAGTTAGACCATGCTGGTCTTTACCTAAACCAGAATGACCAGCTTAAATTCGAGCTTGCCCAGCTTAAACCAGCTTAATTGCTAGTTAAACCAGTTTGACTACCACTTTAACCAGTTGGTCCAGCGTAGTTATCAGCTTGACCAGTTTGATTTTCATGCTGGTTTTTCCTATAGGGAGACGTAAGGATCCTATCAGAGAGGTCTACGTAGCGAAAGTTTCCTTCTTTTCGAAATGTCCGGTCTTTCTCCGTCCCTAAGTAGAAACCCCCATAGGTTAAGATGGCCGGTCGGCCAATTCCAGTAATTGGGCCAGTTTAGGCATCCCCCTACATTCCATTCTTTCTCACTCATACTGGGAGGCTGCAGAAACTGCATCACCTACATCCTTTGGTCCATATGCCGTGCACTCGCTGAGAGCACCTTTAGAATGTCGTTGGAATGCCGGATGAGAGAGGCTGGTCATTACAACCGTCGTTAGGCGCTGAGGCTTACTGTAACTTGATTACAGGTTCAAAGGAGAACATTAACATATTCAGCTTCTAGTGAACAAGTGTCACTAGAATCAATATGATTGTAAGGAATAGATTGTCCTTTTTATAGGGAGGCGCCTGAATGACTATCACATGGCAGTGTTGAGTTGTAATATGTAGGCTAGTATAATAGTTTAGAACTTCTCAGTGAAATCATTTTTTTTATCGCAAGTATATCACAGCACTATTGTATCCCTTTCAAAAGCACACGCATTTTCGTCATTTCGCTGAATACCTCGGCAGGATTCAACACGCTGGGGTGTCGACAGTGCTGCTTCGGTCTGTGTCTAGAGGTGCCTCGAGTTGAGGTCAAAATTAATCAAAGAGCCATTTGTTTTTAGAACGAGGATCACCTGTCGGTGCAAGCCCAGATGGGAATGATGGTCTTTGTTTAACATATCAATGCATTGTGCATGAAAACTTAGTATTCACATCTGCGGCGATTGAAAATGTATAAGGTTTTTATTTTACTTATAAGCCTTTTTTGTATGAATTTATTTTTCCAGATGTGTTTTTGACTAAAAGTAAACTTAAAATGCTAAATTTGGAAATTTGGCAGAGGTCTGCAAGCGGTACACAGGTTGATGGCTAGCAAATTGCAGGGGGACAGGAATCCGCTTAGCCATCTCGCCCTGAGTTCTCAGTATTTGCTAAGCATGAGCTTTCTTTTTTTCAGAATCCAACGGTTGGGGCTTAACTGTTCCTAAGAAATAAACAGAAATGCTACTCATACTTTTTACCACGGCGCTCATTGTAACTGAAACAACCAATGGTAAGAAAGACAAAACAAATTGCTTCTTGTTTCTAACAAAACTGAGTTCTCCATAATGTATTTTCTTTCCCTGAACCTTTTTTTTTTTTAGTGTACTGTGGCCAAAGAAAAAACTGCTTGTGTGCATGGTTCTGCAAACTGTGTTTCCTCCCTTCCGAGATATAGCATGAATAAAGACGCAAAAAAGTTTACTAAAGTAGACGATGACCTTCGCAGATAAATTCGCCATAGACAGAGAGGACTGAAGAATGGTGTAACTTATCATAGCAGCTCTTTTGATGACCTCTAGATAATACAGGACGAGACCGAAGAAATACGATAGGAGATACTATACCTTGCACAACAAATCAGATGCTGAAAAGAGCGAACCAGCAGCTAAATAACAATCTGGATTAATTAGAACAACAGAACAGGGTAAACAGTCTGGAGGTCAAGCCAGCCCGGATAACGGGGTGAACAAAATGACTCCATAAAGAAAAAATTGGTGCCCTTGTGGGTGAACTTTTGAGAACGCTGGTATTGATATTTCCCATTGGATTCCCGCTCACAAAAACCACGAGAAAACATCATCTTACGTTTCTTTCAGCTATCAAAATAAACGCGTTACGTGCAAAGTGTAATAACAAATGCTGCTGACGCTATCGGATATTTATGCAGTCGGATTTGCCACTCCCTAGCATGTTAACGAACATTTGACGAGGCAAAACAAGCAGTTCTTGGTGCAGGAACCTTGGCTTGGCCCGAAAGCGAGAGACTCGCTGGAGAGCTGTCTGGGCAGTTAGAGGAAAGGTGTATACACTAAGAAATCACACATTGGTAAACATCAAAATTGCAGGCCAAAGCGATATCGAATAAATAATCACGTAATTCACTCTGACCGAGAAACTTTACCATTCGATAGCCTTGCATATACTTCGCGATTGCTACGTTTTCGTTTGATTATAATTGCTATACAGAGTCCTTAATTAAGCGAACATTTTATGATACTGATTATAGCTTAAGTTTTATTTGCTTTAAAATAAAAATAAAACATCAGCAATAAACTAGATTATCTTACCTTGCTCCCCGAGCCGTTGTTACTTAATGTCGACGTTCTGGTTTCTACGCAGAGATGGTTGCCCAAATACGTTGAACATAAGGTTTTGCATAAGTTGGTTCACGGATCAATAGACAGTTCTACTTTGCTTGCTTCTTGACATTTTCGCATTCCTGTTAACACAAGTTCCAGAAATCGTAGAGTGTTTTATCCAGACCACCTTAACTTGTCACCTGCATCACGAATTCATCATGTCCTTAACACGAAGTATTGCGGCATTGATATTTTTGTACAACTTTGCCCTATATGTTTTACACATGTGCATGATTTTAAAATCGGCTTGATTATGAATGTATTTTTTGTAACGGAAATGTAAGTTTTACATTGTGCTTTACCGCAAAGGCCAGCCGGCTGTTGGTAAGCACGCAAAATAAATATTGTATTGTATTGTATTGTGTCCTTGTTTTACTGGTTATAGCTCTGCAAATCTAGGAAGAACAAAAAAAGGAGGTGGTGTTTCCATTTATTTGTTAACAACAGTTTCATGGCATGCACTAGATGAGTTTTCTATAATCACTACTAATTTGAAATGCCTTGTCTTTTAAGCTGGAAACGTCGTATGTGTACTATGCAGGTTTCCTGCTGGAAGCTAAGCCGTTTTTTGTTCTATTTTCTTGAGGACATTCCTGAATTTGTTGCTTCCACTTCCAAACTTATTTTATTTATGAGTGATGAAAACTTGAATCCAATTGGAAGTTGAAATTACTTTAATAAAAAAAGTGTCTTGTCCACTCGTGGTTGTTTGAATACGGTGACACCGCCCAGCATATAGACTGTGCAAACTTGCGGCAATTTTCAATGATTGTATTCCTAATATAAGACTTAATAAGGTCTCCGTTTGCATTTTCGCAATTGGACTCAGTGACCACTTACCAATAAAATATACAATGCATCGTTGACAGCTTTTCGCGTCTTATACGTTAAAATAGACTGGAGCAATGGATATTTAGATAACGACCTTAATTTTGTGTACGCCACTTTCTTAAAACAGTCAGCAGAGTTAGGACACAGCTTTCACGCAGGCAACTAGTTAAAGTAAAAAATAGCCTGCGAAAACCCTTGATCACCACTACCTAAAACAGACGAATGAAAGAAAAAATATATTGCGCCATGCAGGGATGGGCAAGATACATGCAAATATGCATCGAAACACAAATACACAATACTTCTTCAAAAATGTATTTAATTACAAATCTAATTACATTTCCAAAAAAGCATTTAAGTACAAGATACAAATAGAACCAAATGCATTTGGTCTCCTCCAAATACTTTTCCAAATACATTCTTCACAATTTGCGTAATTGAGTTCAAGGCATCCGCAACGGTTTTCTGGGTATCTTATTGTAATTTTGCATCGCACACTCGGGAGTTAGTGTGCAAGGCTCTAGTAACGTAATAGAAATATAATTTAAAAAAAAAATGTAATCAGCTAGGACGAAATAGGTGAAATAAGTACAGAGCTTCAAGCAGCTTTTTTTGTCCATTACACTTTGGCATAGACCACCCAAAAACCGAGACGACCAAGACGCGCAGCACTAGCTAGAGAATCTGTTATTGTTGCAACTCGCACCAGTTACGAAAATCTGGACGACCCGCGCATTTAGAATGTTCCAGGCAAAAATATGGATAGAAATCAAGCTGGAAAGCATCACAAGTTGTCCCAGGCACTTATTTAGCCAATCTGCCTGTGAACGTCGATTTCGTCACTATTCTTGCCCTAGACTAGCACCATAATCACAAAGTCACTAAACGTTTGTACTTGATTGAGGGACACTGCATTCGGTGCAGAACATAGTTTTCTTCCTGCTCTGGACAGTGACTTTAAATTAGAGCGAGGTATTTTGTGCCACAAAATTGTATTTAATTACAATTGCATTTGAAATACCCATGTTTTAGTATTTAAATACACACGTCAAATACATTACCCAATTTTAATGAAATACAAATGCAAAATACACACAGTATTTGAAATATGTATTTCAAATACTTGTACTTGAAATACTGCCCATCCCTGGTGCCATGATTTCTTCCAGTCTAGGGATCCAGATATTCTTGCAGCATTAAAAAATATCAAAATAAACATACTCCTGCTTAAAAAAACGCGAAATGAGAATATCACCAACGCCTGTTCTGTCGTATTTAGAATGACCCCAAAGAGATATGGGATGCCGTTAACACACTAGCAAAGAAGCTTATTCATTTCCTGGAAACACATGACGTCAATGGTGATGAGAGTTGGTCTGGACTTTGCAATATAATAAACGAATATTTCTTAAAAGCTTGGCTACCCTTATTAACTAAAAATGAACCCTGACGCTGCCTTAAAATACCATATATTACTATAGAAACTAAATAATATAAACGTCATTTTCTCCTCAATCAATACACACACCTATAAGGGGAGATAAAAATGAACTAGCCTGCTGTGCAGGCGGTTTAAAACAATGATTTATTAAATATGTGTCCCAAGGTATCAGTAGCAGTTTAGCTCATTTCATTATTTGTACTTTTGAAGCTGGTGAATATCGCTTATGCTTAAAATTGCTAGAGTTTCACCGGTATTCAAAGAAGGCAAGGCATATATACAAAATCTACTGACCAAATTTGACTTTCCACATATTTCATTAATAGTTTGAAGACAGTTCCTTAGAACAGATTACAAAAGTTATCCTCAACGAATCATGTTTTAAATAAATTTCTATCTAATTTTCAAAAAGGTAAATCAATGGAAATTGAGGTTCTTCAGGCAAAACAACAATAGAAAAAACATTTAAAATAAAACGTACACACAAAATGTTATCTATATTTTAAAAAAGACTACGGCACTATACAGCCGACAATATTATTACATAATCTTCAACTGCACAGTATAAGTCAATTAGCTCTGGTTTTGATAACAAAAGTATGTACAAAACCGCTGTCAATTTGTTAAAAATGCTTAAAGGTGTATGTATTTATTACATCACATGAGTTTATATCAGGTGATGTATCACGCAGTATCAGATATGTCGCTATAAAATTATTTTGACTCACAAGTCTTCCATATCGCTACTTTTATACATAAATTACACTGCAGTTCTTCCAAGATCACCTGAGATTGCTTTGTGCCCAGACGAGGCCAAAGCATTTTACCTCTTCTGAAACGATGCCATAGGTCACGAAAAAAAGCTCTCAGGCTGACTTAGCTGTATGCCCTAAATTAATATAACGCACCTAAGTTCGGAACAAACAATATTTATAATGCTTGCACCAATAAAAAGGAGGATAATAATTTATATAAAATTATATTTTTAATGCATCTCTAGACCAAGTCCAGCAGCAAAAGGTATTTGATGTCTGGTTCACCGAGAAGCTTTGATGAAAAGTGCATCTAAATAAGTTGAGCTCCGAGCCTTCTCGGGCAGTTCGTTGTTTGTATTAAACAGAAAAATCTAATTCCCACATGATTAAAATTACATATATATATATGTATATATATATATATATATAGGATAAAGGAGTTTAACATTGAACGCAGAAAAAACTGAGGTGTTTTCATTTACCTATATATATATATATATATATATTAATAGTGTTGCTACTGTATTTTAGAATGGGCTACCAAGAAGCTTACAACCTACTATAGTATGACCTAAAAACATGTTGCGGTTGTCAAAAAAATATTTAGGAAATGTACAGAATCTGCCCACAGAAACTGTTTTCGCAAAACATGAAATACTCAAAGCTAAGATTTGTGATTTCAATCTAGTACAACTCGTTCACGAAGAGAAGCTGTTTGATATAAACACATGTGATATAATGCACACATACATCTTTAAGCATTCTTTGTGACGACTTTCACTAATTCGTACATAATATGGGAAGCGAAAATCAACACTACCACACATATATTTTATAGGAGCCT